CCTGCGGCTGGCAGTGCGGCGCCGGTGCGTCCCTGCCCTGCGGTGCTGTCCTGGCCCTCGCCAGCGGCAGGGAGCTCCCGTGCCACGCGCTGCGGCTGGGCGCCGGCACGACGGAGCGGAGACGGACACCTGGGTCGTGATGCCCCAGCTCTGCGCTGTCCGTCTGTCCCTGGTGTACGCGGGGGTTGTGGCGTGAGTCGAGGGCGCAGGGGGTGATGGGGAATGGAGGAATTTCTGGGCAGGGTTTGCATGAATCCTGGATAAGCAAGCCGAGGGTTTGCTGTAACTCTGCCTCTTCCAATCCTTTCCTCTTAGCAAGTCACAGCCTGCTTGTCCCATCACAAAACAGACCGAGGTCTTTGGGCAGCTTGCGTGGGGTTGCAGCCAGCTGAGATGCTGGGGAGATGGGGGTGGGGAAGGTCAGGAAAATCCAAGCAAAAGGGTAAAACCATCAGCACCTCCCACCAGGGCCCTCTGAGCCTGGCAGGGGCCCCGGTGTTCCCAGGCAAACCCAGGGTATCGCCGTGGGCACTGGGGCACGGGTGGCTCTCGCACCGCTGGCCCTGGCCGTCTCCCCCCCAGCGCCCGTGGCAGCTTTGGGGTTTGGTTTTGAGGTGAGACCCTGACTCGGCTGCTTCCTTCCAGCCACGCGCAAGAAGCTGTTTGAACTCGCCACACAACTGGTTTTCCTTAGCGGAGGGCGTAGGCTGGGGACGGCGGCTTCCACGGCAAATCTTCTCGATGACGTCGAAGGACATTCATGTGGTAAGAAACGGCCGTGCCGTGCCATGCCGTGCCGTGTGTGCTGTGCCCGGCGTGGCTAGCTGGGGTCCCGTGGTGCCTGACCCTGTCCCGCCCCGCACCATCGCTCTGCGGGCGATGGCTCCCATCGGGTCCGTCCCAGCACATGGCCACCCGTTCTGCGGGCTCTCCCCTGGTCCCACGCGGCTCTCCTGCGAGTGTGCGCTTTCTGGGGTGACCAGGGATGGGATCTTCTCTTTCGGGGAGTCTCGGGGGCTAGCAGCCAGGCTGTGCAGCGCTGCGGGATGCATAGCCCATGGCTGGGGCACGGTCCTGGCAAATCTGCCATCAGCCAGATTTGCACGGCAGCAGCAGGTCTTGGCAGAGGGTTGTGTGCCAGCCCAGACCACCCCGGGATGGCTCCGGGGTGGCCCGGGGGTCTCC